AATAAATAAATAATTTAAGGCAATCTACTGTATTATATTAAATGCTTAAAATTATATTAATAGCCCAGCCAGTGTGGCTCAGTGATTGAATGTAGACCCATGAACCAAGAGGTCACTGGTTCGATTCCTGGTCAGGGCACATATCCGGGTTATGGCTTGATCCCCAGTAGGGGGCATGTTCCTATCTCTCTATCCCTCTCCCTTCCTCTCAAATATCAATAAAAACATATTTTTAAAATTCTATGAATAAATTTGTGACCAATGGGGGGGGGGGGGACACCAAAAAGACTAGATTATTCAGCCGAGTTTTAGCACCCTCTAGAGTTGACCACAATCTGCATTCCAACTTGGTTGCTCTGTACAGTTCAGTGTGCGTGCTGCCCCAATAGACCATTGGCTTCTTTCACTCCATTGAGTTTTCCTTTGCCAGGCTGCCTGGTCCTTCTCTCTACCAAGCTAGGCCACACATTCTTAAAGAATGTGAGTCCTCTTTCTTCCAGCATTCTTGAGATTCTAGTACTTACTTTACCCTTCTTTCCTTCAATTCCTCAGCACTTTTTGTCTCTACCACTCAGTTAAGCACTTAAATGTTTTATCAATGTTCTGTGGCTCTTTATCTCCAGTGGTTCTCAACCTTCTGGCCCTTTAAATACAGTTCCTCATGTTGTGACCCAACCATAAAGTTATTTTCGTTGCTACTTCATAACTGTAATGTTGCTACTGTTATGAATCATAATGTAAATATCTGATATGCAGGGTGGTCTTAGGCGACCCCTGTGAAAGGGTCATTCGACCGCCAAAGGGGTCACGACCCACAGGTTGAGAACCGCTGGTCTAGAGGATTTATCCAGTAATGTCAATGGGGTATTAAAGTCCCCTACTATGATTGTATTGCTACCAATCTCTCCTTTGATATCTTCCAGAAGTGTTTTTTTAAAATTTATTATTATTTTTTTAATGTATTTGGGTGCTCCTGCATTGGAAGCATATATGTTTACCAGAGTTATATCCTCTTGTTGTATCCCTTTAGTATTATGAGGTGGCCCTCCTTATCCCTTGTTGTAGCCTTCACTTTGAGGTCTATTTTGTAGGATATAAGTACTGCTACCCCAGCTTTTTTATCATTTCCATTTGCCTGAAAGATATTTTTCCATTCCTTCACTTTCAGTCTGTGTGAGTCCCTTGTTCTGAGGTGAGTCTCTTGTAGACAGCATATGTATGGGTCATACTTCCTTATCCATTCAGCCAATCGATATCTTTTGATTGGAGCATTTATTCCATTTACGTTTAAGGTTATTATTGATAGGTACTTATTTGTAGCCACTTTTATTCTTTGTGCCTGTGTTCCTTCTTGCCTTTCTATTTCTTCTTTTTACAGTAGTCCCTTTAGCATTTTTTGCATTGCTGGCTCAGTAGTCATAAACTTCCTTAGCCTTTTTTTTTGTCTGTGAAGCTCCTGATTTCCCCTTCAATTTTGAATGATAGCCTTGCTGGATAGAGTATTCTTGGGTTCAGTCCCTTGCTTTGCAACGCTTTGTATACTTCATTCCATTCCCTTCTGACCTGATGTGTTTCTGTTGAAAAATCATTTGATAGTCTAATGGGAGTTCCTTTGTAACTTTCTGTCTCTCTCTTGCAGCCCTTAAGATTCTTTCTTTGTTATTAACATTTGCCATTGTAATTACATGTCTTGGTGTGGATCTTTTTGAGTTCATCTTGTTTGAGACGCTCTGTGCTTGTGTGACATTTTTCTTCCCCAAATCAGGAAAGTTTTCTTTCATTATTTCTTCAAATAAGTTTTCTAATCCTTGCTCTTCTTCTTGTCATCCTGGCACCCCTATTACACATATGTTACTTCGTTTCATGTTGTCCCAAAACTCCTTTAGACTTTCCTCCTGCTTTCTAATTTTTTTCTCCAATTGCTGTTCAGATTGGGTGTGTTTCTCTGCCCTATCTTCTAACTCAGTAATTTGGTCCTCCCCTTCCTCTAATCTACTGTTGAAACCTTCCATCGTGTTTTTTTATTGTAGCTATATCACTCTTGATTTCCTCTTGATTCTTACATAAGTTGTTGATTTTCTCATCTATCTGGTTTATGAACTGTATGACCATTATGCTGAATTATTTTTCTGACATATTACATGCCTCCATTTCATTTAGTTCCCTTTCTGGCAATTCCTCCTTTTCTTTCCTTTGGGGGTTATCTCCCATTTTTGCTATCATCGGTCCAAGGCTTGCTGGCGGGATGCGCAGGGTTGGAGCCAATGATGTGGGCTTGGCAGGCAGGGAACTCAGTCAGAGGCTTGCCTGCGGGATGCACAGGGCTGGGGCCAGTGCTGTGGGCTTGGCAGGCGGGGGCGCAGTTCGAAACTCACCGGCGGGTTGCACAATACCCAGGAATGATGCAGTGGGCAGACAGGAGGGAGGCGCACTCCAGGACCCACAGGAACCCACGTCTGGGGAGGCTGGAGTCCTGGTGTCCATGGTTCTGCACATGAGGTAGCTGGACTTTGGCCAGAGTGCCTGTAAGGTCAGGGATGGCATCTGAGACCCGTCTGGGTGGTGCTGAGGCTGGGTTCCTAGTCACAGCAGCTCTCCCCTTTAAGATGGCGTGGTTTCTGTCAGAGTTGGCCGCCCCAGGAGTGATTTCAGCGGTAGCAGGGGCTCTCCATCTAGGAGAGTCTGGTCTGCCAGCCCCTGGAAGTCCTGCAGGATCTAACTGTCCCTCCCTCATACACACACATACACACACACACACACACACACACACACACACACACACACACCATACATCCACATACTCCCCTTTCGCTCCCTCACTTAGTCACTCACACTCTCTCCCTCACTGCTGGCCACCACCTTCCTCCCCTTTATTTCTTGAGGACCTGCCTTACCAGCCTTTTCTTTTTTCTTTTCTTTTCTATTTTCTTTTCTTCCCTCTCTCTTTCCTTTCCCTTCCCTTCCTTTCTTTCTTTTTTTTGCTACTGTTTGAAAGTTCCAGGGTTTGGAAGGGACAGCTGGACCCTTCAAACATGGGGAAAACTCCTTTCAGCAATCCTCTCCCTGCACTATCAATGATCAGGGCACATACCAGCCCTTTCTGGCACTAACAGATCTTGGTGTTGTGTTCCAGAACCACCCAGCCTGATGATAATAGAAAACTCTAGGAGTTTTCTTTGCCCTATTCCTAAGGGCTCTTTAATTAAAAAGAAGGAAATTGGCAGTGACCTCAGGGTCCCCTGGCTCTGTTTCTTGCCTCAACAGTGTTTGGGCAGAAAAGACACAGGGACACTCCTTTTTCTAGCCTCTGACCACCCTCCAACCTCTTTTTCAGTTACCTCCTTCAGATCCATCTCAGCCATCCTCAGTCCCTGAGACCAGCCAACATCGTTTTTTGAGCTTAACTTACTGCCAAGCAGCCATGAGCTCCCAAATTCGTCAGAATTATTCCACCAGGGTGGAGGCTGCTTTCAATTGCCTGGTCAACCTGCATCTGCAAGCCTTCTACACCTACCTCTCTCTGAGCTTCTATTTCAGCCACCAAGATATGGCTCTGGAGGGCGTGGGCCATTTCTTCCGTGAGTTGGCTGAGGAGAAGCACAAGGGTGCTGACTGTCTCTTAAAGATGCAAAACCAGCGTGGTGGCAAGGCCTTCTTCCAGAAGGTGAAGAAGCCTTCTCAAGATGAGTGGGGTAAAACTCAGGATGCCATGGAAGCTGCCATGGCCTTGGAGAAAAACCTGAACCAGGCCCTTTTGGATCTGCATACCCTGGGTTCTACCAGCACAGACCTTCATCTCTGTGACTTCCTGAAGAACCACTTCCTGGATGAGGTGAAAATCATCCGGAAGATCGGTGACCACCTAACCTCCATAGGCTGGCCAGCCCCAAGGCTGAGCAGGTTGAGCATCTCTTCAAATGGCTCACCCTTAAGGATGACTAGGAGCCTTTAGAACCTAGAGGCCTTTGAGGACCCCTCTGCATCCCCCTAGTGTCTGGCTTCTTGTTTGAACCTCTCTCTGAAACCATTAGGCATCCTTTTAACTCTCCCATGTTTTGAGCCAAAGTTAATAAAGTTTTTTGCAGCAAAAAAAAAAAGGAAACTAAGTTATTGACTGCCTATTATATCTCAAACACTGTTTCATTTATTAGTATTTCAAGAAAACCATAATACAAAAGGACAAATAGGCTCAGATAATGTAATTCCAATGTTGCAGACCTACTGAAGAACTTCATGCTGAGGCTAGTTCTTTGAAATAGATTCTGGTAGCATATTCTGGCCACCAGAGGGCAGAGGTAGACTACATAAAGGAGACAATTTAGTCAACTGAAGAAACCTTAGAAGCAGTCACTTGTAATTTCTCTTAAGGTAGAGATTGAGAGGAAAAGTACTGTAAAAGGAAGTCTGAGAACTGTCCTTATCCCTATATCCACACTTCTACTTCTTCCAAAGAGTTGAGAGATGTAGAAAGGGGAGGACATCTGGGAAGAGGCTTCACCACCGGTATGGGGAGATGCTGGGGGTGCAGATTATTGCTCACAAAGTGTTGTGCTCTACTTAGGAATTCCACTCCCAATTCTCTTAATCAGTATAAGATGTTAGCTTCAATTGACTGATGAAAAAAATGTAACTCAAATTCACTTACCAAAATGCAGAGGTTGGGCAGTAGTAAAACATGAGTTAGATTTAGGAGTCATGTAACATGAAAACTGGAAGGGTCCTCAAACAGTCTAGTCCTCCTTTCCTCTTCATTGATGGAAAAATTAGTACCCAAAGTGTTGACCTACTCATCAGGATCACAAGCAGAAAGGAAAAGAATTGGGTTTCTTTATGCTTTATGGCTTTCTATAAGGACAGATCCTCTTGTTACAGTTGAGAAAAATTAATGATTGAATCACTCTCCAAAGGTAAAGAAATGGTATTTTATAGCTCACTGGTGACCTAAATGTACTTCTTAGTTAGAACCCCACCTTGCACTTAAATAACTTAGACACATAATATTTAATTAGCATAACAATTTATTAGCAAATGAAATAACACATATAGGATCTTATGTAGTAAACATCATGAACATATACTTCCAGAGAAAAAGGATCTGCTATTAACCAACTCCCCCTCTCCTACAATAGGCTGCAATCATCAATAACTCATTATCATTCCATAGAGTAGAGGTGGGGAACCTTTATTTTGCCAAGGGCCACTTGGATATTTATAACATCATTTGCAGGCCCTACAAAATTACCAACTTAAAAATTAGCCTGCCATATTTAATTAATTCACCCCTAATGTTTTGGCAGGGCCAGATCAAATGATTTCGCAGGCCTTATATGGACCTTGGGCCGGACACACCCCCCACTGCCATAGAGGGTTAAGCATGATTTATGTGTAATAGCATCAAGGCACTTGCTTTAATTAAAAAAGATATATGTGGTATAAAACATATTCCTAAAAGTCACTGACCTAGAATAATTGGAAAAAAAAGGCAGTATACTTTTTTAGTGAAGTGACAAGACTCAGAATTTGAGTTAACTCATATATCACCCTGTTATTGTCTTAATTTGTGTATAAAATTGCAAGGAGACAAAAGGTAGCATTTTATAAAGATTGATTTGTTCACACTAATTTTTGAGAAATCATGGCAGCATCAGAATTCAAACAGTAATTTCCCAACTGATTTGAATTAAAAGATAACAGCTGTTTCACTCCAAGTATTATCTTATTAATTTAGGGATGGAGAATGTGGCAGTGGAAGAGAACTTCTTAAAATAAGTTTATTAAACCTGCAGTTAAAAATCTTTTCTGGCTTAAGCGCTTGTCTGTTTGACAACTAAAAAACCTTCAGTTAGAAATTTAGTCACTGGTATTTTGTAGTAAGATTGTGATTATATGGCCTTTTTCAGTCATAATCCAAGTCCAAAGAAAGGTTATATGCCTGGTTCCAGTGTAGACTTACAAACATACTATCTCCAGTAAAGGCATTTGGTGTCATTATTCCAGTTTTCATAATTCGATATATCCTTCCTATTTTACATCACTACGAGGAAAAGAAAATACATACCAAACCCCCTACAATCTAATATAATGCTTATTTAACATGTTTACTTTAAAATTTAAAGTGCAAAATACTTTTAAAAAAATAATCCTTGTCAGGATAAAAAATACCTTATAAAAATAAATCTCCACCACTCCCACATCCAAATTCTCCATTCCTAGTTACTAATATATTTTTTTAAAAAACTAAAATGTACCTTTAAGTTACAGTATTTCAATAGAATTTTACTTTAATAATAGGCTATGATAACAAACCAGCTGGTATATTATTTTGGCCTGTTCCATTATAATTTTCATTCTTGTTATTAGCACTCAAATTAATGATTCCATTTATGATTATCTAAAATCTTTCTACCAGCGCTCTCTTCTTGGGAGCATGCCTGAGCCTTTTCCTTCCTCCCTCTCCCCACCAGGCAGTTACCTTTGCCTTTCTTTCTCCTGAGCTCCAAGGGCCCTTCTTTTGCTTCTGCAACATGTTTCCTGAGCCCAGGTAGCCCCGCTGGCTCACTTCTATTACCTCTGTAACTTTCTAAATAAACTTAATCTGAAACAAACACACAAAAAATCTTTATTTAAAAAAAAAAAGCCAAATTACTTCAGAGCCTAAAAGCTTTCTAGATTCAATTTCCTCCTTTTGCAGTTTTTAAGCCCAGTTTCAAATAAGGCATCACTATAACAGATAAAGAAAACATTGGGGGCGGGGGGGAGAAAGAGAGAAACATCAAAGAACAGAAAAATTAAGCAAAGTCTAAATCCTATCGATTGAGTTTTTACTACGTCACTGTGGAATCATTCCCTGAATAGACGGAGGCATCCCTGCCTCCTTCTTTGCCTCAATTGCCTGCCTCCTGCTAAGACCTCTGTCCAGGCTCAGTTCAGCTCCTCCATAAAGCACCTCCAAGTGCCACTGTGTGTCACTGAGTTACCACATGGTTCGCCTACTGGATTCAGTATCAGAGTCCCAGCACCCGGCACAGAACTCTAGAGTTCTGCATAGGTCTTCAGGAAGTGTTTGAGGAATTATCTACATTGATGCAAAAAGAACTTATAGTTCATCTATACCACTACATAGAGGAAAACAATTCATTAAAAACTTTAATAAGGCTCACAGACCTTTAATTTATCATTATAATGCCTAGATTCAATTTTAAGTTCCTAAGAAATTCACTGCAGCCCTTTTCTAAGAGCAGAGCTAACACCCAAATTACTAAGAGAACACAATATACATTTAAAGACCACCATTTACCATACTGTAAATTTAGCGACAAATTTGGCTTCAATGTCTACTATTGTTTAAAAGCTAAGTCAGTCTACCTAAATCTCGTTTTCCTTTGGTCCTAATGAAAATTTTTTTAAAGTAATTGTCAACTAGACATCTGTCCATTTTACTGCCATCAGAGGCACGGATAGTACTATAGTCACTACTGCTCCACAGTAGGTCAACCTGGGCTTTTGTCCCAACGCTGGCTAATGCATGCTTCTCAACTCTCTCATCTTTGGTGAATCTGTGCCCCTCTCCTTTTAGAAACAGAACCCAGTTTTGACCTTGCTCTCAAACTAAGGTGTGTCTTCTAATCCTGACCTCCCTACTATTGTGCGGGGTTAACCAGGGATTGGATCCTATTCAACTGAATGCCTCTGTTTTCTCCCTTATTTAGTCAGCGGTGGTGTTTTCAATGATCTACTCCTTTCACCCCTCTCCTGAATGTCAATCCTTAGTCTCTCTGTGCATGGGTACCCTCCACTCCTCTTATTGTAGCAAATTTAAAAATAAATAAGGTTGTAAAGTTTTAACCATTAAGTATGTACACAATACATTTCAATTAAATGACCATTTTAAGATATTCAGAATTTTGTACGTTTGTCAATAAGCAATGAGAAAATGTTCATTTAGACACTGAAGTCTAGAGTAAGCAAGATATTTTTGTATCAATAAAACTTAACTCTACCCACGCAGAAAGGGTAAGATATACATTCTTGAGAAATCTTAAATGTTTTTACAACTAGTTACCAAAAGCAGAATCTCGTTTGTCTGAGTGGAAGAGGTACAGTGGGGCCTTGACTTACGAGAGTTTAATTCGTTCCGTGACGGAGCTCATAACTCAAATTACTCGTATGTCAAATCACTGTGACGTTCGCTGCGCCAACTAGCGGTGGGGTATCTAAAGCTGGCTCGTAACCCGAATTTTTTTGAGCTTGCAACTCAAAGCAAAAAATCGGCCGAGAGACTGCTCGTATCTCAAAAAAACTCGTTAGTCGGGACACTCGTAAGTCAAGGCCCCACTGTACTAATCAGAGCACAATTCAAGACTTTGCTAAATGCACAAAGCTCCAGAATTGTTCATATCCACATATGAAGAGAAAGGTTAGGTAAAGGTCAAATTCTGTTACTCCATTTTGCTAAGGAGTTTTTCAAATTTTTTGGACTTTTTTTTTTTTTACTGTGCTAGTGTTTGCTAAATTATAGAGTTGTCTTAAACATGTACTCTACTCTGTCAGGCAGCATTAGACATCTATAATGGTCTGGATTCAAACCTAGCCTGGGGGAGGAAGGCAAGAAGGATTAAAAACAAATGATTAACCAACAGAAAAGGCACAGACGCTTCCAAAGGAACATCAATAATTAATTTGTACATGTTTTAGTGAAAACAAAGCTAATGCTTACTGCATGCACTTCTATTTCAGAAAGACTATCAATCCCCAATTGACCCTTGCTAAAATGCCATGGGAAGCAAAGAAATCACTGCTAAGTAACAAATTCTTAAGGGAAACTGTCAATCATTCCTATTTGTAATCTGTCCTTAACAGTTTGCCTCGAGCTCATTTAAAATACTGTATAGAATTGCAGAGTCAGCATTCTGCCTTTTATCTGGCAAGCTTGTCACTGGTAATGAGACATAGCAGTTTAGGACAGATGCCATGGAAAATACACTAAATTACTGAAAGCTAAGGAATTATCTGCATTGATGCAAAAAGAACCTATAGCTCATCTATAGCACTACATGAAGGAAAAAAATTCATTGAAAACATTAATAAGGATCACAAAAATTTCAAGTATGCAAGTTGCTATTGGCTAGACATTTTTCTTCTTTTCATCTACTTATCCAGCTGATGACTGGAAAGACCCTGAATTTATCATTATAACTCCTGAACTCAATTTTTAAGTTAAGAAATAATCAGAAACAGGGACAGAGATCACAGAAAAGTCAGGGGGGATTCTCATTATTTTGGCTGATTATGAAGAGCTCTTTGCTTACCGACTTACCCTAAACAAAAAGGTATGACGAAAACAACTGATTTACAAAGAATGTTCTGTATAATGTGAAGTTAGCTGGTAGGATTTCACAAACATGCTCAACCATCAGTCTCCTGATGGATCTGTGCCTATGGTTTCCTGCCTTTAGGAAAGGAATAGTACTTTCCTATTAAAAGTCAGAGATCTCACTGCCATCTGGGGAGCAGAAACTGGGTATGGAGAAGTACAAATAAGAAAAAGACTTGAATAGCTATTACCTTGTGCTCCAGAGGCCTCTTGATCTGTTGGTACAATATCAGACACAACATCTTTCCCTGCCTCCTTTCCACTCTCTCTCCAAAGAGCCGTATCATATAGGCTAGAGCATATCTCATATAAATGCCAACTCCACTCCTTTCCTTCTGGAGAAGGAAGAGTCCACATGCCTATCTCCTCAAAGAGGATGGTCATGCCTGGGCAGTGTGGCTCAGTTAGTTGAGTGTTGTCCCATGCACCAAGAAGTCACTGGTTCAATTCCTGGTCAGGGCACATGCCCAGGTTGCTGACTTGACCCCCAGTAGGGGGTGTGCCGAAGGCATCCGATCTGTTTTTCACATTGATGTTTCTATTTCTCTCTCCCTTTCCCTTCCTCTCTCTCTAAAAAAATCAATAAAACTTTTTTTTTTTTTTTAAAGATGATCATTAAGTTTAAGGGCTACTTCACAGTTCAATTCAATAGACATGTAATTCCAAGAGCACTCCCTATTTGCAAGAAAGCTTAAAACCACAATATTTTCTTCTTTCTGATTCTGCCCAAGTATAAGCTCTGCTGCACTTTTGTATCTACGAAGGCCATCAGCTTCGAAGGAAGAATAATGTCTAGCCAATAGGTTAAAATTTCAAGTATGCAAGTTGCTATTGGCTAGACATTTTTCTTCTTTTCATCTACTTATCCAGCTGATCACTGGAAAGACTCAGACCATTGGGAAAACATATTCCTTTCTGATTTTGACATTCTTCTGCAAAAGCTATCGCTTCATGTACACTATAAAAGAAGCTTTCATCTTCCTTTTTGCAATACTCTCCCCGGACCAAGGAATCCTTCACAGAGGGATTGCATTGAGCCAGCAGAACTTGTATGCCAATGGCTTCATAATCTCTGCGAACTTCTTTCAGCGTATGGATCCCTGCTGTATCTAAAAATTGGATTGCACTGCAGTCAATCACTATGGTATGGAGTTCCAAGGGATCATGGGAAAGTTTCACTGCAACTTCATCCTGAATTCCACTGACAGTCACTGTTTCCTTTTTTATCTTTCTCTTTGCTGCCTTCTTCTGAGCTGCCTTTACTAAGATTGGGTTGAGAGTTTTTTTGTATAAAGCAGATTTAAAACATTCTTTGTTTATGTAGTAGAGAGGGGCTACAAAGCGGAAAATCTTGATGCCCGGGTTAGCCTGAAGGTTTTTGTAAGCAGATGTGGATTCAAAAATTTCCGATTCTTCCACTAAGCCAAGCAATGAACTCTCAGGCTTCTGCGTACGGAGGATGACACAAAACATAGAAAAACAAACGCCTATAAGCAGGCCTATTTCAGTACTTATCAGTGCAGTGGACAGCATAGTAACAAACCAGATAACTGTATCCATTCTGCTAACCCTCCACATCTTGGGCAGATCCTTAAATTTACATAAAGCTCCCCGGAGATTTACAATAGTGATCACACCCAGGACACTTTTCTGAAGGGAATAGAATAAAGGAGCTATTACCAGGAGAACCAACAAAAGAACCAGAGCTGTCACTACACTAGAAAGCTGAGTTTGGCAGCCTGTTGATTCTTTAACCAACGTCTTTGCAAGAGCTGCACTAGTAGTAAAACAGTGGAAGAAGGAAGGGATGATATTGCAAAAGCCAATGGCATACATTTCCTGGTTAGCTCTGACTGTATAGCCATGTTTCTTGGCAAACATCTCAGAAAGTGATACAGTGATAGCAAAACCAATGATAGACATAGCTATTGCATCTGTAGCCACATTAGGAATTAAGTTCCAGTCCGGTGCTTTGGGTGGCATAAACCCAGTGGGAATATGTCCAGCAACACTGGTATTGTATTTCTCATTTAGTTTTCCAAAATGAGAGGCTAATGTCGCTGCCACAACAACAATGAGTTCAGTAGGAATCGGTGCCTTAAGCTTGGACTTGAAGCGCTCATTGAGTTCTTTGGTTGGCAAAAGAACCAAAAGGCACAAAAGGCTGGTGATGAGATCACAGAGATTGGTCTTATGGATGTTTCTGAAGATATGTATCCAAGTAGTGATGAGTGAGCCCACGCCACCACTCCGAGGAAGGCTGAGCCCAAGGAGATACTTGGCCTGAGATGTAAGAACAGTGAAGGAGGCACCAGTGACAAATCCACTCAGCAAGGCATCTGAGAGGTAGACGGAAACAAAGCCCACTTGAAAGAAGCCCATCGCTACCTGGAAGGAAGGATATACAAGTGTTAAATATAAATGGAAAAGAGGCACTAAATCCTGTATTACCTTGGCATTTTTTTTGCATGGAGACATATCAGAGCATCACAGAATATCAGAGCTAGAGAAAAACACACTCATATATCAATCCTCTCGTTTTAGAGACAGGGCTCATTTTACTGACACTCAGAGGGCTAAGCACATTATTACTCATTAGCCTAGATGAGACAGTAACTTAGGATTCCTACCTTCTTAAACTCCTAAAACAACTCTCTGTACACCACCTCTCCGCTTCATCCAAGCACCAAATAAAGCAAGCTACTCTTCCCCTTCCCTTATTGGTTCCAAATGCCTGTAGTAGAGATGTAATGTTGGCACTGACTCCTGATGCCAGAAGGCAGGGGCATGATGACAATGGCAGATGAGTGGATTCTATAGGAGACCCAAGAAGAATTTCATTTCTAATCCTTTCTCCTGGTTGATAATATAATATAGTGTTCAACTTTTTCCTGTGCAACAATCCAAGAGAACTACTATCTTAACAATTCTACAGGAAAGAGGGGGTGGTCATCTATAGTTTGAAAAACTCCTGCACTCCTCCTCTCCTAATCCCCATTGTTACCATTCCTGCCTGCCTGTTAATGCTGATTCTGCCAATAACCAACCTGCATAATCTCAAACAAAGCAATTTTTCTTGACATATAAAATCAAGAAATTGTATTAGGTGGTCTGAGGTCCCTTTCTGGTCTAAATTTTTACAACCAAATAATTAAAATCTGGTTGACTGAAATTCATTGGTTAAGGGGCAACCTAGAGTTGAGAAAAGAGAAGCAGCTTTATCTTTCCTAGAGAGTCAAACCAGGGTTTGAATTTCGGCTTTACTCCTCACATATCTTGAGTATTCAATAAATAATAGTTTTAATTATTGTGATATCTAAGATCCCTTACAGATCTGAGATTTCATGCATAGTGATTTCTTTGGTAAGAAACCACCAATCTCATCCCATTGTTTCTTACCTGATAAACTCCAGCCATAAAGGTTACGGTGCTGCCCACTGTAATTGCGTAACAACTTCTGTCACATATCCTGTCTGATGTCTGGTTTAATGATATGCTCCCATTCGAAACCGTTCCTAACGACAGGGCAATATGGGCAGTGTCAAAGCCAGCTCTGTGTAGTTCTCGGTCAACTACCTCACCAATCATAAGGCACAGTATTCCAAAAATGCCCACAGAGATGTGACGGGAAGTCCCGAATAGGAAATAAATGATGCTTGCAAAAAAAGATGTGTACAGACCATAGATGGGTTCTTGGCCAGCTAAAAGGGAGTAAGCAATCGATTGGGGAACCAACAAGATGCCCACAATTAAGCCGGACATCACATCTCCTAAAATGTTTTTCTTCAGGTCATATTTTGGGAGCCACTGCAAAAAGGGAAGGAAACCAAAAATCGTATGTTTTGCTTTGGTTGGGCTGCACTGGCAACTCTTCTGTAGTTTTTTGATGATGAATTGCTTAAAGTTAGTATTTGATTTCTCTTGAGGCTCCATGTGGATCCTAGGATAATGTCTGCATTGATTTGTGGCTTCAAGTTGCTGGAAGTCAGTATTTGATTCCTTTTCAAGTTCCACATGGATCGCAGATGGAGGATTGTATTGGTCTTTTCCTTCAAGTGAAAGGTCATGTTGCTCTGTATTTTCCGAAGACATTTCTGAAGACAGATGCTTTAGCCTCCTACCCCAGAGAAAATACCAGAGTTACCTCATTAAGTAATTCTCAGTGCTCAACATTTTAACAGCCCTACTTGTCATTCATGAGAGTTAAAAGGAGTTCAGTTTTGATGTTAGGTATCTTACAGTCACATTTAGTTGAGCCTCATTTGTCTTGATTAAAAAAAAAAAAAAAAGAACCAGACCATAAACAGCCAAGTCAAAGCAAATAATTCACTGGATCCAGGACTTCCTGAGAGTAAAAATCATTTAAGGATTCTTTTCCATCCCTGCCTGGTTCCCCCTATAGTTTTTCCCTCCAGAAAAGGTATCAGGGTAGCCTATTTCCTCCTTTCTATATGCTATCAATTATCTTCTTTTCAGGTTTTTCACACCCAGATATACTGCAAATAGGATCTGGTCCCAAACCTTCATCCCTACCCGCAAGTCCCTAAAACAAGGAAGATGTTCTTTGTTGTTGTTTTTTTTTTTTGGGGGGGGGGAAGGGAGGCTCTTTAAATAACTTCCTAATTGTTGAAAATAAACATAAAGAAGAAAAAGCAAGTGAAAGAGTAAAAATAAATGTGTGTTTTTTTTTAAAAGAAACTAGGGCAGAATGCATTTAGGTCTTTGAACAACACTCCTTTGCTTGGTAGGAAAGAGGATAGAGAAGCTGATACAAGATTATTAAAGCATATGAATGTCAAGAGCCTGGGTGGGCTGATTGGGCAAGTGTCCGATATATGCTCTGGAAAGTTTTGGTCTATTCTACTTTCTTTTAGTACAGAGTCATATCTGCCGTGTTCATGCAAATAAAGATTCGCTTTACTGTTCTAAGTACACACACTGAAGGGAGGTATAATGTTGCTCTGTACTTCTACTTGGGGGGTAACTAGGTAGTCCTGCATCTCTGGGTCCTAAACTACAGAACTAGTGCCATAAGACCTTCCCCTGTAACTATAGGAAAGTGAAGAAAATAAAATTAACCAAAAAGAAGGGGCAACTATAACAACAGAAAAATCTTGTAGTAAGAGTAAAAGAGGAGGAAAAAGCAAGAGGTTCTCAAAGTATTACACTGTTTACCAAATAATTCACAAATCAGTGTCTCTGTATTAGCTGCTTGCTTAACTTAGCATGGCCATCCACCTCTCCGCCTGTCAAGATCCTAATCATTTTTAAAACCCATTTAAAATTCAACCTCTTATACAAAGCACTGACCAATCTCTCCTAGCCCAAATGAATCATTATATCCTCTCTGTCCCAAAGCATTCTGCACTCCGTTATAGTACTAACCACACTCTTGTATTTGTTCAGTAGGATTCTCTCCAGCTCTGGGAGGAAAGGACATCTTGTTCATCATTGTAATCATCAATGAATGAAATATTATAACTCTCAGAGAACAGGCTTACAAAATGTTTGAATGAATAAACAAATTTATGACTATAGCCAGAGAGAGATAAAATATACTAGATGGAGGACTCAGGAAGTTTTCTGTTTTGGAACTGACAGAAAAATAGGACCTTGTGAGGTTCTATAAACGTAATATTACCAAAATGTCATAATCCAGGACCCAAGATCCATTTAAGAATACAAGATACGTAAAACCACACACATTAATTTTGTTTAGGATGAAGGGTCATCCCACTAAACAAAAGTAAAATAATAGCTACTCTGATAGTTTTTAAAGTAAATAAGGAAAAAAATAATAGATATAGATGGCTACATACCCTGAGCAAGTCAATCAGATTGGTGGATACACACAGGTCTTCATTCCTCAATGCAACCAATCTGTAACTCTCTTCTCACTTCCTACTTTCAGGCCACTCTCTAGTGCACTTATGTCCTGTCATTCTGTTTTGGACAACTCTTGGTGATTTGTGGGTCAAAAGTCTTTTCCAAACCTAAGATATGCAAAAGGGACATAAGAAAAACGTAACATATAACTATTTAGCACTTAAGTTTACGTGTCTCTCACACTAGAGTAACTAGAGCAGTGATGGCGAACCTATGACACACGTGTCAGAGGTGACACGTGAACTCATTTTTTTGGTTGATTTTTCTTTGTTAAATGGCATTCAAATATATAAAATAAATATCAAAAATATAAATCTTTGTTTACTATGGTTGCAAATATCAAAAAATTTCTGTATGTGACACGGCACCAGAGTTAAGTTAGGGTTTTTCAAAATGCTGACATGCCGAGCTCAAAAGGTTCGCCATCACTGAACTAGAGTATACATTCAAGGACAGACACCAAGTCATTCTCATTTCCACATAACCCAGCACTAACACGATGCCTCACACCTGATATGTATGGCTATGTATCTGTTCATTGGTGAAGTTTTGGTGAAGTTTCAAGTAAATATAATGAAGACAAAAAATCTTCCTTATATTCTCTTATCACAAATTATTAGCAATGTTCATTTATGTGTGATGCAAAAAGAGCCACCATAGGGCTTATATCAGTACTACAAGCACTATGACATATTGATTCTAGTATAAAGCCCAATATAAGACAAAATAATAAAATACCCAAGAAGAAAATAACTTAATGTAAAATCATGATCAAATATATTAAACTAGAGGCCTAGTGCACGGATTCGTGCACCAGTGGGGTCCCTCAGTCTGACCTGCAGGGATCGGGCCGAAACCGGCTCTCGAACATCCCCTGTGGGGTCCCAGATTGCGAGAGGGCACAGGCCAGGCCGAGGGACCCCATCAATGCACGATTGGGGCGGGGAGAGACTACAGGAGGGCTCCAGGGCGTGTCTGGGACATCTTTCCCAGTCCCAATTGGCTGGACCCCAGCAGCAAGCTAACCTACCGGTTGGAGCATCTACCCCCTAACGGTCAGTGTGTGCCATAGCGACTGGTTTAAAGATCGTAAGGCCAGACACTTAGCATATTAGGCTTTTATTATATAGAACCAGAGGTCAGGTGCATGATGTTTGTGCACTGTGGGGGGGGGGGAGTCCCTCAGCTCGGCCAGTGCCCTCTAGCAGTCCAGGACATTCCAGAAGGCAGTCAGACATTCCCCAAGGGGTCTTTAGTGCTGCCACAGAGGCAGGAGAGGCTCCCCGCCACTGCCACTGTGCTTGTCAGCTGTGAGCCCGGTTCTGGCTGAGTGCGCTCCCCATGTGGGAGCGCACTGACCACCAGGGAGCAGCTCCTGCATTGAGTGTCTGCCCACTGGTGGTCAGTGCACGTCATAGCGACCGGTCGTTCCACCGTTCAGTTGATGTGCATATTAGGGTTTTATTATAAAGGCTAGTTACTTGCACAGTAATTCGCTGCTTTCAAAAAGATTTTAAATACACCTCCCATTTGCCTCCTTAATAAATCTGAGAACAGTGTATGAATTCCTATCTCTAATATGAGCAAAGTCAAAGTTTAGTCACTTGCTCAACTGGTAGAACCAGATTCCCAAACCTCATCTTCCAATTTCCAAGCTTAACTCTCTAAAATACCACATGGCCCCTGGCAGGGGGTGGGTTATAAAGGTCAATAGGAGAAAAAAGGGCACACACGGTGGCCAAGTTCTCAACTCATTTCTGGATTATGGTTAATTTTAATTGGTGAAGGGAGCAAACTGCTTGACATAGGTTTGGTAAAAGGTTAAGAATAAAGTTACTTTTACCTTTCATATTACACACCTGCATTGGTAATATTTTCATTTTATTTTTCCATTAGGACTAATGTTGTAAAATTTACGTCTGTAGCTACATTTTGGTTAGAATAATTTGTATCCCAGGCAATAGTCAAACAAGGCAAGCAGGCTCTTGCTTTCATTTACTTTTGCTGCCCCTCTAACTGGAATGCTAGAATTTTTCTCAAATGCTGCCTTAATCAGTTCCTTGCTAGACACGATATATAAAATAGCACTACTGCCGCCACCACGCTCCCCGCCTGGGCACATCCCTGCCTTCCACTCCTATCTCCTTTACTTTGCTCTATTTTTCTCCCTGACCCTCTCATCATTGCCTACCATGCATTTACTTTTTTTTTCTATCTTTCCCATGAGAGCAATAACCTGCTGTTTTATTAAATTCTTAGCAAATATTGTTGAGTGAATAAATGAAAGAAATGTTTTGTAAAAAGGAGTTACCCCTCTCTGTCCACCCTCCACACACAATAACCAAGCTTGTGTCAAGACGTTATACAGTTTGGCAAGTATCTGCCTGAGGGTTTATGCTCACTAAAAGTTATGTCAATAATCAAAAATCACCCCTAGCCCTAGCCGGTCTGGCTCAGTGGATAGAGTGTCGGTCTGTGGACTGAAGGGTCCCGGGTTCGATTCCAGTCAAGGGCATGTACCTTGGTTGCAGGCACATACCCAGTAGGGAGTGTGCAGGAGGCAGCTGAATCAATGTTTCTCTCTCAATGATGTTTCTAACTCTCTGTCCCTCTCCCTCTCCCTCTGTAAAAAATCAATAAAATATAAAAAAAATATTTAAAAAAAATCACCCCTAGTAAATCTCATCTAGATCTCTGCAAAGTCCTGTGTCATTTCCAGATCTTCCCCTAGGAGGCAGCACATTGTAGTACTGTACTTACTCTATTAAACCAGAGATCTATTAAAATGCAGGTTCCCAGGCAAGTCCAGAGATGAGATCTAAGACTCTGCAGCCTGGATGATGCTGAGCCAGTGAGCTGAAGGCCAAACTTGGAGAAATACTGGGTATGATCTGGAGTCAGACAGATCCCAGCTATACTGTCTAACAGCAATATGGCACTGGGTGAAAAACTTCATTTTACTCAGCATCAATTTCTCACCTATAAAATGGGGACAGCATCACTTAACTTGCAGGGGTGTTAAAAAGCTACCACAAGTAAAGTACCTAGCACAGTGCCTGACATATAGCATTTGCTCAATAAATGATAGCTACTAGTCTCTGACCCTTGAGAGTCGTGAAGGGGCCAAAAAGGGGCTCATTTCTTTCCAACAGGTTTAACTCTCCATTTCTTGACTCAATTATTTATTTATTATTTTTTCGTGTGTATGTTAATCCTCACCCAGGATATTTTTTCCATTGATTTTTAGAGAGCGTGGGAGGGAAGGAGGGAGAGGAAAAAAAACACACATGGATGTGAGAGAGACACATCAATTAGTTGCCTCCCCTATGCCCCTGACCCTTCAGTCCACCCACCCCCGCTCCATGCACTGAGCCAAACCAGCCAGGACTTGACTCAATTTTCAAAAACAAGAACTTCTGCTTAACCCACTATTGGATAATCACATTAGTTCCAGATTTCACATAAAGAGCCCTAGGGATAAAGGTGTGTGTGGGAGTGGGAGTGGGGGGAGGGGGGAAGAGAGTGGTGGTAATAGAACAGGTACCAGAAAGGACTTTAAGTCTTGAATGCTTCTAACTCTCCATAGTCCCCAATCCGTGCAAGGAAAGGGCCCCGTCTGCCATTCTCTGAGTTGGGGAGTACAAGCCCTAGCTCTGCACATGATCTGCTGTGTAATTCTAGGCAAGGCCCTGGTCCCCTCTGTGTCCTCTCAGTGTCCCCATCCATCCACGAGAGAATTTCAAGTGAGTCTATGAATCTCCAAGAAGCCCATTCAGGTCCTCATTTATACTTAACCAGGTGTGTGATTTTAAAGACCAAGATAATCAAGTCCTCTCTGGTGTCCAGGTCTCAGTCGCCCATTTGTGGGGGAGGAGAAAGAGGGTTAGTGGTGGCAGCTCATTCTCCTGGGTTCTGCTCCCGGAAATCTGGGTTCGACAGGGCTTGACCCGACCGAAGCGCAACGCTTTTATCTGCGACTGCGACGTGCTTGGGGCACTCGGTGCGACGCGTGGGCTGGAGGGAGGAGCCAAGCACTCAGCCGGAGGAGCGGGGCCGGCGGACCGGCGGGGGAGCGGGGCTTTGACACTTGCCCTGCCCCGCCTCTGCCCACCCACGGAACAACCCCGACCGCGGGCTGCCCGCGAAGCCCACGGCGACAGCTGGCCCGGACCTCCTCCCAGCACGCCCGGGGCCCAGGCCGGGACCACCCGAAGAGCAGCCGGCTGGCCGCGTGGAGCCGGCATCGCTCCCCGGCCCTCCGCCCTGCTCGCGTCCCCTCCCCTCTTCTCACCTCTCAGGTCTGGGCCGCCCCGCGCGATGAGGCCCCGCGCAGCGTCCTCCGCGGTGCGGAGCAGAGGGCACACGACCGCGCGGGCAGTGGCTGCCGGCCCGGAGCCAGCCTCCCTTTTACCGGCTCGTCCCCTTCCCCGCCCATCTTCCGGCCCCGAGGAGGCGGGGCCCGGCCGGCCGGGGGCCGGGACCCGGGGGCGCGGGGACCAGGTAGCCGCCGAGGGGTGCGGAGAGCTAATCCCGAACGAACGCCCGGGCCGTGGCAGTCACGTGGCACCGCGGGCAGGAGACGCGGCCGCCGGCCAATGACCGGGCCGGGCTGGAGGGGGTGCCGCCCCCTCCCGCCGCTCTCCCCGTCGCGATTGGCTGTCCTGGGCTGGAATGCCACGCGTCCCGGATTCTGGGGCGGTCCCTGCTGCTTCCCGCGGTGGTGAGTCCGTGAGTGGGTGTTCCCGGCGTCTCCACCTTAACCCGGGGGTGTGGCGAGGAGAACTGTCCCGAACGGCGCGGGAGCGCGCTGCCCAGAGCCCGAAAGTGCTCCGCGTTTGCGAGTCTCTGACGCCTTGGGACCCGGTTCCTTCCCACCCCCCTTTACAGACGGGGAAATGGAGGCCGTGAGTGGGAAAGGCCGCCCAGAAAGTTAGATTTTCCTACCCGAGTGTAACTTATTCTCCATCCAAGGGCCCAAGAGCCAGAGGCTCTTTTTAAAATGTAAAAAAAAAAGGTAAAATAAATATAAAATGTCATTCCAATTCCCCTTTAAAGCCCTCAGTGGCTTTCCTTGACATGTATAGATAAACTAAAATCGTCCCTGTTATCTTTAAGGTACTGGATGTCCTCTGGCTCCTCCCTCCCCGCTCGCCTCGCTCCGGACCTCTGCGGGGGCCTGTGAGCTTCAGGTACCTGGTTTCTTCCTGGGTCTCAGGTCTCAGCCTAAGGCCTGCTCCCCACTTAGCGACACATTCTCTGCCAGTCACTTCCTATTATGCCGTCTTGATTTAATCATCAGCCGGAACTGTCCATTCTCTGAATATATATATATATATATATATATATATATATATATATATATATAT